CCCCCCCCCCCCCAGCTGGGTGCTGGTCTGTGTCCCCTCTGATCTCCGCTGCTCTCCCCTGCCTGTGTCGGCAGAGGCAGTGGGGTTGGGAGGGAACAGAGACCGGCACCCAGCAGGGAGAAGGGAAACTGCCAAGTGGGTCAGCTGTCACAAGAGCCCAAGCTCTCCTCCTGTGACAGGCGAGTCAAGATGGAGAGGACATAGAATGCTTACTGTGTCCCAAGTTATGAATGAACAGGAAGTGCTGTACATCACTTCCTGTTCATTCATGATTGTGGTAATATAGTAACTGATACTATCGACAGAGTTTATGAATGGACTGAAGCACTCAGTATAGAGATTTCCTGTTCATTCATAACCGAGGCTGCAGAAAGAGATTTAGGAGATTGTCCTCAATCTCTTTTTCTATTTTAAAGGGGAAATATCAAGGGTCTGTTTAGGCCCCTGACATTTCTCCAAAGCCCCTGACAGTAAAGTTAAATAAATAAATAAATAATTTAAAGAAAAAAGTAATTTTCGGTCGAAAAATGTCATTTTGGTGCATCCCTAGTTTAGAGAATAAATAGGTTCACCCTAAAAGTACTATTATGCGCTTATGTGAAAATGGGAAATCATAATGGTGTTACTGTGGTCAACGTATTGTAAAATATAGTGATAGACACATTTCTTAAGAGTGAACTAAACTGAATCTGTTGGCTAATTAAAGTGTTCGGGCTAACAATATTCCCAAAGTTACCTTTATTAGTCACCAGACTGTTTGCTACACACTGTGGAAGTCTGTTGGTCCAAGGACTTCACTTCTTTCTAAACTTGGGGCTAAGAACCAAACTCACTTGAAGTTATACCCCACACTTCCTGAGTTAAGCCATTACCTTCTGTGCTGACCCTGATGATCCCTTTTCTTACCTAGACCAGTATTTTATAGCCTCATCATTGATTTATGTGCTTGTTCCTGGTCCATATGAAGCACGTTTTGTCATTGGTTATGTTTGTTTGTTTTTTCTTAGGGAGGTGTAAACACCAGCGTAAAACATGGTGGAATCTATGTGAAAGCTGTGATACCAAAAGGTGCAGCTGAAGCAGAGGGCAGAATACAAAAAGGTATGCTCTGGAATTGCAAAAATTTTGTCCTTTTTACTTTTACAATGAACAGCATTGCAACACTTCTGTACATTGTACGTATACAATAAAGAGACCTGTATTTCTACTTTGTCGTAAAAATCCTGCCTCATACTTGTCCAATGATGTTTCTGTAATTCTGGCTATACTCTAAGATTTTTCTTGTTCAGGCCATGAGGAGAAATCACTCAATTCGACACACTAAAGATTGTGGAGGTATGGACGATCGATGTGTCCAGGGATAGTGATTGTTTACTAACCGCATGTAATCGTATCACATACGATTACATGTGGTGTGCCGACATTCTGCCACTTTCAAATGCAGCGGCTGTCACCTGATCATTAACCTGAATGGGTGACAGCTGCTGCTTGTAAATGGCAGATTAGGAATTCCTACAGCAGGAAATCACAAGTTCCTGATGCAGGAATCCCTAATTGCACCTAAAATATACGGTAGGTGTGAATGGAGCCTAAGTCTGCATGCTAGCTTCTTTGGTTTGTGGACTTCAGTGATGTAGTCATTCTTTCTTGTCTTTCTTGTAAAACCAATAATTTGGGGAGTCTATCTATGAAAGAATTTAGCCTTTGTAGGCCTTGGGAGAATAGCCAGAGGCAGAGAGTATGAAGCTGATATTTCATAATTGGAGTTTTTGAGAGATAACAGAAGGCTACCATTGGCTCAGTCAAAACCGCAATATCGCTATTGGGTCAATAACACCTAAACCACCTGTGGTTATGGATCACACTGGTGGTCATAGAAGCATTTTCACCTTTGCAGATGTTACATAGGTGCTAAAGTTATTTTCATCAAATACACGGGACAACTGTTAGGCTAGGTCTCAAATAGCATTCTTTATTAATTCACCTTTGTTCATGTTTATTGAGGCTACCCACAATAGACATGTGATGTCTCCTGTTCATTCTAGCTGATGTTCTGATAGGGAAATAATAAAATGCCTGTGGACACACTGATCTTTTGTAGTCACACCCTAGCTTTCCGATTCCTGGGGGAAAATCTATCGGGTTTTATTTTCTTGAATGAATACTATTGTTTCTCCAGAATAAGGCTGCATTCAGGGGATTCTCCTCAATGCATATATTTTTGAAAAATATATTTGTGTGTGTTTATGGAAAGATGTTTTATAAGAACGAGTTTTTGGGGGTCAAGTCTTCTCCCTACCATCTCATATGCACTATGTCTAGTCCTTAAGCTGGGCTTTAGCAGTCCTCATTGTGCAGTTATTATTGGTAAATAGGAACTTGGCAAGTCGGTTTTACAAAATTTGAAAACAAAAACACAATTGTTTTATCTAGTTAGAGTTATGTAATTTTTACTTTATATATTGTATCTTTATCACTGTACCCTGAGCTCACTGTGAGGAAAAAGCGGGGCTGGTCTGCAATGTGTTTTTTAAGCACTGGACTCTGCTGTCGGTGGGCTTTAGTGTAACTCAAGTTAGTTGCAGAGTGCTTTACAGATTCAGGGCCAATATACACCTGTCTGTTGGAACCCTGCCGCTGAACACATTTGAAGAGTATGCCCACCAGGAAGGTGAAGGCTGTTCGGATGTGGCATGTCCCTTGGTTCCTGCCTAAAGTGTCCAATTTATGCATTTTGGGCCGCAGGCAGTCTTAGGACCACTGCTTCAGTAAGTCAGGGTATTGCTCTTTACGGGAGCTTGGGTGTGCTTAATCTTGCTCATGGAGTCCCATAAGGGGTTAACTCGTGGCACCTCTACTGAGCCTGCGCAGCATCCATTTGGGTTGTTACTGCGCATGGGTGTGCCATTTTTCAGGGCATCCACAGATTTCCTCTGACTTTCACATGTTCTCCTTCAGCTGCACCCACACTATGGGCCTTGGGATGTTCCTTGGGCTGCCTCCACTGACATGTCACATGGTTTTTACTCAAACTTTATTTTTGCTCTGTGCACTGCAACTTAAGTCTTCACTAAGATGCTAGCACCTATACTTGTTCTGCTCTGCTCTTGGGGCATTCCCATAGTGGCATACCTGGATGACCTTCTACTGAAGGGACATTCAGCAAGGTCTCTGTCAGTCATTGTCCAACAGACTGTTGAAACCCTGTGCAACCTTCGAAAATCAGTGCTGGAACTCATGAGTTGAAGTATTTAGGCCACCCTTTCAACCTATCAGGAATGTTCTCCTATCCACTCTCGCTCGCAAGGTTACCTTCCTCATTGCCATCACCTCTGCGTAGCAAGTTTCTGATTTAGACTCCTTATCCTGTAAAGAACCCTTTCTTGTGCTACACAGGGAAGAGGTTAATTTGAGGCCTAAGGCATCTTTTCTTCCCAAGGACATTTCTCTCCACTGTCTGGATGTGTTATCAGCTGTTTTGAGTGTTTCTCTCAGTTTCAGCTTGTTTTAGACAGACTGCCTCTCTTTTTGTCATTCCTAAGGGTCTCTTTAGGGAAAAATCTGCTGCTTCTTCTACTATCTCAAGGTGGATTTATCTGCTCATCATTCAAATGTACAGACTAAAGGGCAAGGTTCCACCTTTACCTGTCAAAGCACACTCAACTAGATCAGTTAATGCTTTATGGCAGGGATAACCAAAATTCGGCTCTGCAGCTGTGGTGAAACTATAAATCCTATAATGACTCTACCTCTGGAAATCATGTCTGTGGCTGTCAGAACCGTGCAATACCTTATGAGACTTGTACCACAACAGCTTGAGGGCCAAAGTTTGGATACCCCCAGTTTATGGGCTTTTTATCATCAGCCATCTAAGATTTGCATGGCTACCAACTGGTCTTCTGTTAACACCTTTGTTTAGTTTTTCCAGGTTTGTTCAGGCTTGTGCTGCCAGCTTCAGACATAAGGTTCTTCAGGGGACTCCATGATATCTATTGGGCCTTTTCTGTTGATCTGTAGTCCACGTTGAGCCTGCTAGCATTTTGTTTGCTGTGTTTCCCACCCCTCAGTTGAACTGCTTTTGAACATCCCTATGTACCTGAATTTCATCCTGTGTCCCTTAGTGTACAATTAAAAAAAGATTTTTGACTTGCCATACAATCCTTTCCTTGAAGTACATTAAAGGGCATACAGTAGCTTCCCCTCCTTTGTTCTTATGATCCAATCCTACTTTTGGTTGCTAAGAAACTGAAGCATAATCGGAGTGGGATGAGTTATACTAGACTGTCCTTACAGCTTTGTTTGCCAGTGTCCAATCTTCTGAAAGCAGCAGCCTAGCCCTAGGTACCTGAATTACATCCTGTGTCCTGTAATACACTCTAAGTAAGAGCGTCCTTTGTGTAACGATCAAGATAATTTTGTTAAAGAGAGCCAGTGTGTTAGTTGTTTGTCCTGCTTTCTAAGCCGAGGGCCCTATCATCTACACTCCTTGTGGGCCTTTGTCCCTTACTTCCTGGGAGATATAGGTTTGTTGGGGAATTCCATTTACCCTGGTCCCTTTTCTCGTGCTCTCTCATAATCCTTTTTCCATTCCTCCCTTCGAGTTAGTTAGAGAATCTAGATTTTGGGCAGGCGCCAAATTGGTTCTTCAGACAAGTAGTCTTGCTAACTATTGCTGAATTCTGGCCAGGGTGGAAATTATCCACTTGCCCCATCCTGGGAGGATTCTCCTATTTGATGTGTTTGCTTACCTACTCTTGAGTCGGTTTTTCGGGACAGTTTCCCAAGTCAATGGGAATTGGGATCCCTCTTTTAGTCAGTCTTTTAATCTGACATCTGCTAGACCTCATCTAGAGGTTGCAAGATCTTCATCTCCACAAAACTTTGAGTACTCCCCCTGTAACTGTCCATGTGTTCTATTCTCTATGCTGGAGGGTGTTGAGTATATTATGCATGACCATAGTTTAGTTTTTTTCATTTCCTGTCCTAAGTCAAGAAATTGGCTTCTGTTCCCCTGTTCCCCTCGTTGAAAAGTGAGGGTTATGCACATGAGTGTGCATGCTTTTCCTTCTTGCAAAGAAATATCCATCATTAAAAAGTCATGTACCCGTACACTGTTACCCTGCTGCAGAAGTCTCCTAGGTGGTGGGATAGAGTTAGTCTTTTCTTCTGGGAGTGAGCTAATCTCCTTACATTGCTTCCTCTTCCTATTCTCAATCATGCTAATATTCCTAGTGTTGATAAGGTTTTCTACCCCTAGTTCCTCCAGGGAGGATTCTGCCCTTTACAGTGCTAAGTTTTATTATTCCTAGAATCATATATTTTATTATTGGTCAGGCAGGTTTATAGTGTGGCCGTCACACCACTGAAACACCTGTGAGTGTGAGTTGGAAGGATTCCTTCTCATGCTTCTGGTCCTGATGTCCTTGTATGCCAGTTTGCATTACAATGTATCCTCACCCTTGCATAACCCTTTATATGCAGATGTTGCTGATCACCCCCATCCTCTTTTTTAAAACGATTCAGGGATTCTACTCTTCTATTTTCCCTACTGTCCCTGAAATGAAGGATTTATGGGGGTTCTACTTAGACCAAGAACAGGAAGTGAGCAGGGGTAGTCTGACACCCAGCCTAACCTGCCTTTAGTTAACATGACCACTGTCAGAAGACTGGGAAAGAAAAGAGAAATAAGGTATGCAAAGAATACAAAGCCGGCAATTATCTAGAAGTATGTGTGTGTAGATTGTCATTACTAAACATTTCTAAAGGTGTGTTTGTTGTTATTTTAAAGATATGGGTAAAAGTCCGTTTTAAGTGATTTCCATTCAAATCAAAACACTTTAATTCCAAAATGAGTGTACTGATAATGATATCAAATACATTTTAAACTTAGCATGTTCCTTGTTTAACAATGTAATTTGCATGGCTAGATGTGAATGATAATTTGTTTTACTCTTTTTGTTTTAAACTAGGTGACCGCGTGCTTTCTGTTAATAGTACCAGCTTGGAGGGTGCTACGCATAAACAAGCTGTGGAGACATTAAGAAATACTGGCCAGGTAGGATTTTGTAACTGTAAGGTATAATAGGAATGATAAACCCAAGAAGGTTTATTTGAAGAAGTAGGATTAAAGTTGACCTTGCACTTCAGGAAAGGTCATCTTATTTCATTTGCATTCCTTAAACGCTGCATAAAAGTGCAGAAAAGAACCTGTGGTGAAAAATAGACAATATACTCACCTTTCTCCAGCTTATGTAGTGCAGGGGGTGACAATAACCTACTGCGCCCAAGATCCCTGGGAATGCTGATTTGCCTAAATTTCGCAAGACTGCACTGAGGTACAAGGTCCACTTGATACATTTGTGTTATATTTGATAGCATATGTCAAGAATTACAGTATTTTTTTTCCATATAGTGGAGATGCATTAGATCTCCTGTAAAGTTTTTATTGCGGCTTGCATCTACATTAGGGAGATTTCCTCTCGATTTCTCTCTTGGTGATAGCTATAAACAAAAGGATTTCTTCTCACTGTGTTCTGGTAACAGCTGTCTTTCTGTCCATGGTGACAGGAAGTGAGGGTAAAGCTTATGGTACATGGGAGACTCTGCCACTAGCAATCCCGCCACAGGGGGGTTGTTCAAATCGCCAGCAGCAGCATCACTAAGAGGCTGCCTGTACGCCCCTATGGAATCAAACCCTCGCTATCTGAAGTAGTGAGACTTCACTCCAATCGAATTGCAGCAGTATTTGGAGCCAGTGAGGGAGTGATTCCCTGAAGGTAAGTGGAAGGCACCCTACTGTTGGCGGTTTGTTGCCCATCTAACATCACCATTACTCCAATGGGGGAGACAGACAGCAGAGAAAACCTGAGGCCAGATTTGGACTGGTACTACCAATGTTTTATTAGCATTGCCATGTGGCAGGTGCCTGTGATAATAGATGTACAAATTAGAGGCAGCTAGCTCATGATTGGCCACTCTGCTTCCCATCCTTTAGGCTGAGCACTGGAGAAATGTGCCATTGGAGCCAAAATGGTTGCCACACATTTAGGAAAGTCATAGGATAGGGTTTTTTAGGTGGAAGTTTTACCCTGTAACAGTTAAAAAAAAGTATGCTAAAACTGGACATTTCCTATCAATACGCAGTTTTATACCTTCCGATATATTTGTCATTTTATGTAACTACTCTTCACTGCCGCTCTGTGTAGTGTAGCCAGGAGGGTTCTGAAGTTTGCAGCTTCTTATGTCATCTATCTTTCTCTAGAATGACCAGTGAATTATTATTGAACATCACCAAACTGAGGCGATCCTCTCCATGCTCTTCCCTCCCCTAAGTTCATATAAATGCCTTCACTTCTAGTTCCTATTGCCTAAAATATTTAGAAATTTGAATTATTATTGCTTTAGTAATGCAATAAAACCTATTTGGCTCACAGTGCTGGCACTCAAACCTAAACCCTCCCTTTTTTTTTAAATAAAACAGTCTCAAAACATGAAATATTAACATAAAACATGTACCTAGGAAAGGCATCAAGAAGAAACAAAATGAAACAAAAGCAGTATTTTGGTGAATGCCATAAGGGACGTGCTGGTTGCCTTACGTATCTGGTGAAAAATAGGATGTGAAAATTGAGCGTTTAAATACCAAGACGTGTATATATAAAAGGAGACATTATTTGAGACAGTTCGGACCTGTCAAAAGTGGCAGAGAAGAAATCTCTCCATCGCCTGAAAAATGTGGTTGTTTTTAAATCTTTATGTAATTCTGCGTCTAGCCATTTCTTATTAAAAAACATTTTGAGCTCTCTCGCAACTTCCAATAGCTGGGGAGTAGAAGATGCATTCCAAGAGCGCATTAGACATCTAGCTGCCAGCAGGCAGATGTGTATCCAGTCTGAGCCTCTGCTTTCAGATTGGGGGTGGGGGGCTTCATACAGAGAGTCACGTGGTGTGCTAAACAGGAATAACATGGGAGACGTAGGTGGCGACCACGACACAATGGTGGTGATGTAAGACGAGATCTGGCCCAGAACTCGGTAATAGAGGGACAGTTCCATAAGCAATGAGCTAGGGAAGGGCGTGGTTGGCCACATTTGGGACACTTTGAGACGAGTGGCTGTGGAGATGGTCCCGCTGGCATGAAGTATGGTACATAAGCTCTATGCATAATTTTGAACGGAGTCTCTCTCCAGGTTTTATTTGTAACAATTCCTCTGATCTTGTTATAGCAATGCAAAAGGTAGTCTACAATGTCAGGTTCTTGAAAGTCTGTAGACCATACCCTCACATTTGAGGCCGAGAGAGCGCGTAGCAGAGTTGAAGCTTGGGATAGAGTTCCGAGAGTATTGACCTGTTTTCACCAAAGCGTCCAAAAACGTGCGAGTGGAAAAAAAACTTGAGGTCCCTCGATAGATGGACCTTTTCATGTTTCTGATACTTTGGAAAAAAACCTCCCTTTTTAATGTGCAGGGGGTTGCAGAAAGTTACCATAAACACTGTAGGTACTGGATTTTTGTTCAGTACCTAAACATATATTTAATGTTTGTAGTTAAGCGAACATGAAGTATTGGAATTCTGCTCTACATTGCGCATACATACAATGGCTATTTTTGCAGGTGGTAACGTTGTTGTTGGAAAAAGGACAGCTACCAGCAGTGAAAGTCCATGCTCCTGTTACCCCTCAATGTACACCGCCCAACCAAGCTGGGACTAGCAAGCAACAGGACAAGAAGGCATCTGTCCCAGAAGAGTACAACTTTGTAACTAATGGTAAGCTTTATATACACTTTGACAATGTGAATAAACTGCTGGTATTTCTGGAAATATAGAGGTTACATAACATTTATCTTAGCTAAACCTTTTTTCGTTATCTTCCATTGAGGGACACAGCATTGTAGTAATTCAGACATGTGGATTATACTGCCACCTGTAGGCAGTTTGGACACTAGCAAACAAGAAACTTTAAAGGAGAACTATGGGGTCAGTGCTTTTCCCCATAGTTCTCCTAAGGGTCACGGGAGGACACAAACTAGCGTCCTCCCGCCTCCCAAAGCTCAGTATACAAGAGCTACAACTCGCGGTACACTGAGACCGCCGCAGCCGGGACGGATCCCGACATTACTGTCGAGATCCACCCAGCTGCGTGATTGACAGCTGGCTCTACCCTATCTAGAGGCAGAGCCAGCGGTACCCGCCCCCTCCCCCATCCGTTCCACCAGTCACGGCTCTCTACAGGGACAGGATCTAGAAGTGAGCAGCGACGGTATGTGTTCGCTCACTTCCCGATCTATTGAGCCGACGTGTGACAGTTTCATTGTCACACGTCGGCTCGAACTATGAGGCTGATTGATTTTCACTCACCTCATAGTTCTCCTTTAAGCCAGCCCTTTAGTAACTGCCCGCCTGCCATGCCAGAGTTTTTGCTAGCATACTAAGATAGCTTTGGAGGCCATGCCTGGATCCTGTTGGACCGAAGATTGCGTGGCTAGCTTGAAATGAAACCTTTGGGCACTGTGCTCTTCTTTCTGGCTCTTTCCAGAGATTTGTTTACTATGTGTTTGTCGGCTGCAGAACACTCTCTAGGTGCAGAGCTGTGGCACAACCTCTGATGTGACTTGTTTCTGAAGGTCCCCGTTGTGAATAAGCCCTTAAGCTGCACCATTTTGGTATTTCCCAAATCATCTTCAAGGACAGCACATAAGAGATGGGCATCTCCTATCACATGGACAGAAAACACAACCAAAAAACACTTGAAAAGGGAGTCCTTCTGGTGAGCTGGTCGGTATTTAAAAAGGTGTTTGCTGGAACTCGGGGTGGAGGAGGCAAGTTGTCTCTTGGGCTTCCCCCCTCCGTCTATCTTTACTTTTGGCTGCTTAGCTTGTTGATTTGGGTGGTGAAGCAGAGCCATTTTCTTTTTTCCATATGCCCCCTGAATCACCCTCCTGACAGGTGAGGTTGCGGTGCGGGGCACCCTCATCAGCATCATAATCCCAGGGATACAGAGCCTCCCCAGACTCAGCCCCCTTGGGAAAACCAGGGTCCTGGAGGCTCTTTTAGATATCTCATTATCAGTTGTAAACTAGATATGAACACTGTCTGTCCTAACATTTTCAAGTAGTAGTCACTTTAAGCAAAATTGACTTGACTTGATAACTTGAGTGTCTCTCTTGTGGCCTGAGTTGCTATCTAGAACAAGTAATACTGGTGGGGCCCTTCTATTTAGCTGGATTAGTTCAGCAAGCAAATAGCTTCTTTATGTTTCTTGGTTGCCCTCTTGTGGTTTTAAAGGACACTTGCAAATTGCAACTTCTCAATGTATTTCACTAACATGGGCACAGATTTGCAGTGTTTAATTTCAGTAAATAATAAGTCTCATACAAAATAATTTGGAGTGATAATGTTTAAAGAACATATGGTAGCTCTGTAGAACAATGGTTTTATCACTTTTTTTTAAACTATATAGTCTATATATGTACAATGGGTATTTAATGTGTTCTGAAGTTGCTGGTATTATTACTCAATGTTTTGCAGTTTAACAATAATTTTGTGGCTATCTGCATTAAACTTGTATCCTCTTTTAATTATTTGTACACATCTAGACAGTAATTAGACACAAATATTAAACATCCTGTCCCACACTATCGCCTAAAGTCAGTGTAGTAGGCTGTGTGGCCTTCGGTGGCACTATATAAATCTAAAGCAGAAATGGTCAGCACTCCTTAAACACTATATGGGGAATTTATCAAAACTTGAGCAGTTGCCCATAGTATACAATTAGCTTCTCTCTTCAGTTTGTTCTGTTAAGCTTTAAAAATGAAAGAGAGAAGTTGATTGGTTGCCGTGGACAACTGCTTCAGATTCTGTCTGCTCCAGTTTTGATAAATTCCCTACACTGTGTTATAGTTATCATAGGGTTTAACGAGTGCTGGCCGTTTCTGCTTTAGTAATTGGACACAAACTGGCCTAAAACATTCTGATCCAAAACTAAAATAATAAACAATGCTATTGAGGAGGTTTGTACTTTATTTTTATTTTTCATTAATTCATTGGAATATCTGCTAGGCTTATGAACAGATTATTTTTGCTCTTTCAGACAATGTGTATGAGGTGAAACTCGTGAAGAACAGCTCTGGCCTGGGGTTTAGCTTTTCTCGAGAAGAAAACCTCCTTTTAGGTCAGGGGGATTCGAGCATAGTTCGAGTTAAGAAACTGTTTCCAGGCCAGCCGGCTTCAGAATGTGGTAAAATAAATGTTGGAGATGTCATCCTAAAGGTGAATGGAGCGTCACTGAAAGGACTTACTCAACAGGTGAGCATTCATATTGGATTTCAATTCGGTAAACACAATCTGATACTTGCTCTGCAGTTCCTAAGAAAATGCTGGAATATTAAACTTGCTATTTGTTTTCTTCCATTACCAGGAAGTTGTTTCAGCTTTGAGGGCGACCTATCCGGAAGTCACTCTCCTGATGTGCAGACCATCCTCTGGTACATTGCCAGAAATTAGCTCTGTGATGCTGGTAAGGAGACAGTCCATGTCTTAGGCTCTGATGGGTACTATGTAATATATTCTTGTTCTAAGAGAGACAGTAACTCTTGTTTTGCAGTTAAGATCATCATAAAATTAGGATGTCCAGGTCTTAGTATGACACTAGCGGTATACTAAATAGGCCACTAATCAGAAGACACTAGTAGATTATGTAATATCAATATAAACATATCTCAGAAAAGGAAGACATGGTGGCATTAAAGAGACATTAAACCCTTTTGACCCTACAAGCAGTGGGGATCCATGGAGTCCCTCATCCCTCCCTGGGATGGCTCCAGGGAGGGATGAGAGACTCCAGATGCCGGCGGCCGGCAGCGGCGGTGCCGGGGGGGCGCCCGGTATTTTTAAAATTAGCGGTCATCAGCGGCTTGTGAGCCGCTGATGACAGCTATTAATTTAAAGGGGACAGTCTGCTGAACAGTTCTACTATAAGCTGATGGTCGCTAAAGCGACCATCAGCTTATAGTAGAACTGTAAATGCCAGGTCCGTACGACGTACTGAGCTGGCCAGCTGGAAGCACTTTTGTAGCTCTGTACGACGTACGTCCTTGGAAGCGAAAGGGTTAAGGCACATTTGCTTTGCTATGCTTCTTTCTGCTAATGGCAAAGAGAATGTGCAAGCAATTCTAGGCTCCTTTATGTTTTTTGTGTGCATTGTTGCCTTATATGATTTGTACTGAAATCATGTATATTTTTTGATTTCTACAGACACCACTAAATACCCCGCAGAAGATTCTACCGGATGAGAACCAAAGTGGCATTCGTGGCACAGAAAATTCACTTTCACAGGATCAGGGTGATAGCTCTGATGAGAATGAAGAGGTAGCAGATGCAAGTACTAGGAGACTTAAGAACCCTTCTAGGAGGGATAGCTATAGTGATAGCAGTGGAACGGGAGAAGAAGACTTTATACCAGTACAAGATGAGTCACAAATGTGGAATGCCACAGTGTACCAAACTCCATGTGATTTGAGGGCACCACCCCATGGTCAGGGCGAGATCTCTGACATCCAAGAGGAAACGGTCCGCTCCAGCTTTTACACACCAGAACAGACACCTTACAAACCACAGTTTGAGGACAGGTAAATATTTCTTAATAAAAGCTATATTTCTTATTTGGTGTACAAATAACAGTGGGTGAAATGTTTTACTCCATACATTCAAAATGTATTATAGAACTTAATTAGCCTAAAGTGAAATACATTTTCTTAATTGTACCTTACCGGACAACAAGGCTCCTTTAGTTCTTAAACCACTGTGTTATATGCAGCTGCCTTCAGGTGATTGGACACTGGCAAACAAACCTGGAAGGGCAGCAGTATGTAACCCCTCCCACTCCCAGCAAGCCTGATTTTTATTTTGCTGTTTTGGACATCTTCTCTCTACTATAATTTTTTTTTTACCTGATCCATAGCCACCGCAGCTTACTTTGCAACTTTGCAATCCAAATTGGTTAACTCCCCAACTCCACCCTGAAAACCCGCCAGTTGGTAAGGGAGGGCTGTACGCTAGTAGAACCCACAGTGCTGATGCTCCACTTCCCAAGCGGTTAACAAGTGGAGCACAGTTTGCAACACATTTGGTCACAGTCAGTGGAGGGTGCAGTTTGACTGCGCCATTTTCTTTAAATTGGTGTAAATTTTTCCTGGTGGACCTGTATGGTCTCCTCTTCAAGGACTGCACTGCATGTGTGTTTGCCATTTTTCTGCATGGCACACTGTGCGGCTGAAAGTCCAGACTGCTGTCCCCAGTCTGACTCACTTCTACCTCTAATTTTGCTTGCAAGAAACTGGGGCATGATGGGTGTGGGAGGAGTTATACTAGGCTGTCCTTATAGCTTGGGTTGCCAATGTCTGATCACCTAAAGGCAGCTGCATGTAACCCAATGGTCCAGGAACTAAAAGACAATGCGGTCTGTAATGCACTCCAAGAAAATAATTTTACAGACCAAAATCCTATTTTATGGTGCAACTCAAATTGTATATTTTAAATGAATGGCTGGGTCATAGCAATTTACTGTATATGCAAGGAAAGCAAAGGATATCATGATTTTTTTAATGAATTTGATAATTCAAGTAGCTGTATATATGTTAAGATTTATCATAAGAATGCAGATTACCATTGGATCTTAGATGGATAAATTGTACATGATTGGATAGAATGTGAATCATGTTTCATCAAGTTGGGTTTGGTCTGTGAAAGAAAGAGACCTTGCACCCCGCCCCCCCCCCCCCCCCCA